ACAAATAACTTACGTTTTATTGTCACTTCTGTATATATGTTGCCACTTTATTCTGTTTTATTTTTTTTGTTTTATTTTTTTTGTTTTTTGTTTCATGTTACATGTTTTTTGTTTTTTTTTTTTTTTTTTTTTTTTTTTTTTTTTTTTTTTTTTTTTTACATAAAATTAGTGCCTGTCGACCAATTACCCATGGGTTGTTATGCTTGCTTTTGACATTCATATAATATATCTGCTCATAGATTTACGAGATTGATGAGTGAATGTTTCTTAACCTCCCATTTTTTGCAACAGTGTTTTTTTATATATATTTTTGAAGCAATTGGAGGATTTATTTTTTTTCCCCATATTTTGTGAAGCTTTTTTTCTGAGTTTTACTCATTTACATTGCACATTGATGCTGAATAAATGTGTATGCATGGAAAATATCGTCTTAATGTTTCTGCATGCACATTCCTCTTTCCTATTCTCTACCTCCATCTAGCAGATATGAACAACTTTGCACCGATTTATGAAGTATATATTAGAAATCTACACATTGATATAACCAAGGAAGAAATTTACAACATGTTTGAGGGGTATCGCATAAGAAGAGTAAACATATTAAACAGAAAAGGAAAAACAGCAGCTGCATACGTAGAATTTGATAATGTAGATGATATGAACAGATCCCTGGAATTAAATGGAAAGATGATTTATTCTGGAAATAATACATTTGAACAAGGAACAATATCTGTTATAATTAATAAAGACAAAATGAAAAATTTTCATACGAACCCAAAACAGAATAAATATAAGAAAATTGTTGGAAGGAATAATAATAATAATAATAATAGCTTTTCTAATTTACGACAGGGAAATAATAATATGAATAATTTAATGAGCAATTACAACACAGGTGGTAATTCAGGAAATAACAACATGAACAGCAATAATAATAACATTTTTGCAATGAATAATAATATGTACTATAATGAAAATAACAAAAATATGAAAATGGATATGAAAGGAAATACTATTATGAATAGTAATAACAGCATGAATTCCACTTTTAATAACTACACACATATGAAATTTAATTATATGAATAATAACAATGCTAATAGCAGTAGTAGTATGCACATGAACCAAGTAAATAATAATAACACGAACATGTTAAATGAAAAAATGAATAATAATCATGCTGGAGGATTCCCTTTTAAAAATATGAACTACCAAAGTAGTAATAATAATAACAATATTAATAAAAATATGAACAATGAAAATAATGCCAATGCTTCTACTGGGACAGAACAAAGAAAGAAATTAGTTTTAAAGAAAAGATCTGTACCACTTGATCAAAATAATTACGTTATCAATCCGAACATATTTGGAGAAGCCAAACCAGTTGACACGAATCCTGATAAAATATTAAGTGACAATATTTCCAAGGGAAAAGAAACAAATGACAAGGGCGCAGAAGATGAAGAGAGGAAAAAACAGGAAAATCAGCAAGATGAAGAAACACAACAGAAAAGGGTAATCGACATGAACAATGAAAATGATGTTAATATTGGAAATGAGCTCAACAACAACAGCAGTAACACTACTGGTAGCGGAAATAAAAATGTTTTTAATTACAAGAAAAATATGAACACATCAAGGAACTTCAACTATAATGATAATTTTCAAAACAATAATAACAGCAGTGTGAAAAATTCCAGCACGAAAAAGATATTCATGATGAATAAAAATAATCAAAATAACGCGAACAGTAATAACATAAAAAAGAATATGAACAATTTTGATAATAACCAAAGCTCTGGCCGAAATATGGGTAATAATAATATGAACAATATAGGAGGAAATACAAATATGAATAATCTGAGTAATAATGACATGAACAATAATTATGGAAACACAAAACGGATCAACATGAATAATAAAAACTTTAGAAATGTTGATATGAATAATAGAAATTCAAGTCCATTTAGTAGTAATGTTAATAATATGAATTCTGAAGACAACAAAAAAGGGATAAATTTAAGCGGAATGCATACTCATAAAGTGTTCGAGAACAAAATGTACGTTTCAGGAAATGTAGATGTAGAAACAGCAGAAGGGGCAGCAGCAGCAGCAGCAGGAGGAGGAGGGAACACATCCACAGTACACGATTTGAAAAACGCAAATTACATGAATAGTAACAATGCCCATGGCAACAATGACACGAAGGATATATTTGGAAATTTTAGAAATAGTAATTTTAAAATGGACAAGAGAAATCACGACTCACCCTTTTCCAGTGGAAAACAGAAAGAATTAAACATCCTCAACAAAAGTGATAAGGCACATATCAAAAATATAATTATTAAAAACATAAAGAGGGAAGATGGAGTCAATTCTAATTACGCGTACGGTAACAATAATAATATGAATAATAATAGCAACAGTAACAATAATAATATTAACAATAATAATAATAATAACAATGGCAGTATTGGTGATAATGTTGGAGGCTACAGAAACAACAGTGGAAACAGCCCCACCTTTCGAAACAACGATTCTGGGTTCAATTTCAGAGGAGGGAAAAGTGGTGGTGCACCCATTGGAAGCTCAAAAATGAACATAGACAATAATGCTGCAGGTGGAAAGGATAACTTTATGAATTTAAAAAGAATGAATGATTCGAATTTCAAGAAAAATGAAGAACCATTTGAAAATATGAACAGAAGTGCAAACAGAAACACAAACAGAAATAATAGTAGTACCTCTTATGGAAATTCACCCGTGGTACATGGAACAAACAATAATACAAATTTTATGACGAACAACACAGGAGGAGGGGGTGGGGGAAGTGGAGGTACAAATCAAAATGTAAATACAAGCAATAATCGAACTGCAGGAACAACTACTGGTGATAATTACAATGCTAGTGCAGGAGAAACTTCATATAATTACAACATTGAGAATTTATATGATAGCTCTTTGAAATATGTTAAGAATGCGAATAATTCTAGTAAGGCAAAAAAAATTACTTCTGTGAAAACTGTGAAAGTTATTGCAACAGAGAAAAAAAATGATGACGATAATAATTCCCAAGATTTAAAAGAAAAAAATGGAAAAGACGATACAAATAATGAAGTACCAGGAGAAGATCATAACAATAATTCAGGAAGCAACAACAGCAGCAATATTCACAACAAGGGTTATGAAAAAAATGGAAAGGAAGATAAATTTAATGATGATAAGAAAATAGGAAATTACGATGATTCGATACGTAGTAATGATAATTACACTTACGAATCTGATAGCTCAGATAATTGCAAAGATATTACTACTACAAATTTAAAATCAACTTTACTTCATACCAAAACGAAAAAAAGAGTTAAGAAAAAACCAGCAGCAGCAGCAGAAGAAGGTGCAGGAGGAGGAGAACAAAATAATATAAACAATGCAAATGAGGAAAATAACCAAAATGCATCAGGAGGAGCAGCAAATAATAAAAGCCAAAAAATCGATATTTTGATAAAGCCCAATTTGAAAAAAGGAGAAAATATTTGGGAAGCTAGAACCCACTTGTTGGATGAACAGAAGGAAAATAATATGAACAATGACAAGGATTCTCATTACAGCTCAAGAAGAAGTAGATCCCCATCGAATAAACTTAGCCGTGGTAGTAGTCGTCGCAGGGAGGGAAGTAGAAGGAGAGATAGTAGTGGTCGGAGAAGGGAGAGTAGTAGCAGAAGGAGAGATGACAGTAGAAGAAGAGATAGGTATGGAAGGAGGTATGACAGACGAGATGATAGAAGAGATGAACGACGAGACGATAGAAGGGATGAACGACGAGACGATAGAAGGGATGAACGACGAGACGATAGAAGGGATGACAGACGAGATGATAGAAGAAGTGACAGACGAGATGATAGAAGGGATGAACGACGAGACGATAGAAGGGATGAAAAACGAGACGAAAGACGAGACGAAAGACGAGACGATAGAAGGGATGAACGACGAGATGAAAGACGAGAAAGTAGTCGTAGAGGAGAAAGCCGAAAGGAAGAAAGAAAAGATAGCATCAGCAGTAGCGTAGAGAAAAAGGAAGATCACAAAAAGGATGAACAGAAGGAAGATTCTTATGATTACAGAAAGCAAAACAGAAATTATGACAAATACAATAGTAGAAGCAATCACTATGATAGAAAGAGAAATAGTAAATATAGTTCGTCCGATAAAAGAAGTTATGACATGAAAAGCTACGTTTCAGATGATAAAAGAAGACATGGTGGAGATTCATATGACAAGGGCAATTACAAAGATGCATATGATAAGGGCAACTACAAAGATGGATATGATAAAGGCAACTACAAAGATGGATATGATAAAGGCAACTACAAAGATTCTTGCGACAGGGCAGGGAATTACAGAAATTCACACGATCGTATAAGCTATAAAGATAGTTATGAAAAGGGTATTAAAGATGGCTATAGAGATAACTTCGATAGAAATGGAAATTATGTTGAGTATGATAAAATGGATAACAAGTATTACTCGAACAATTATAATTCTATGAGACATAAAAATTACAAGCATCACAATCCTCATGGAAAAATGAATAATTATAATTACTCAAATAATTACAAATCAGCACATTATTACAAATATCCAACAAAAGGAGGAGGAGGAGCAGGTGGAAACTACTATCGGGATAATAAAAATGCAACTAAATCAAATGAGAAAGAGAAAACTGAACCCAAGGTAGATATCCAAGCAATTCCAAAAAAAGCCATTGTAACAACTGTTAAGACAAATAACGTTTCTATTAAGAAGAATCGATATGAATGTCTGGATGATGGTGATGAAAGCGACAAATAGGTGAAGCGAGTTGGGAAATCAATGAATGCAAGTAAATGAATTATATGAAATTGTTACAAACTCATAGCCCCTGTAAAAATAAACATTATATGTAATTATCCCTCACAAAACAGACATGTTTAAATGTTACTCCAAAAGTTGTTTTATTTAAATTGAGTGAAAAATAGTAAGAGAAAAAAAAAAAAAAAAAAAAAAAAAAAAAGGAAAAGGAAAAGGAAAAGGAAAAGGAAAAGGAAAAGGAAAAGGAAAAGAAAAAGGAAAAGGAAAAGGAAAAGAAAAAGGAAAAGAAAAAGGAAAAGAAAAAGGAAAAGAAAAAGGAAAACCCCCCTAACCCCCCCCCCCCTTATATGTGTGGTCTCACATGTGTACAATCACAGAAACATCGCATGGCAGGAGCCAACCCCCCCACATGCATAAGCACGTTTGTGGCACTTAATTTACACCCTCTTTTATTTCTAACGAAAAACAGAGAAACAGTAATCCAGCGCACGCTTTAATATATATATATATATATATATATATATATATATGTATGTATAATTATGTACATAATACGTGTGTATTTTTTTTTCTTTTTTTTCCTGTAACGCAAGCAAATTCACATGTACACAAGAAAGACAACATTTTTGAAGTATTTTTTATTCATGTAGAATATGTTTTTTTTTACCCACACCCACAGCACTAAAGTTTATTTATTTAATAAATTTCATTATAAAATATTCTACTTATCATAGCTACATGACCAACATAAATACACATTCCTGCATGTATTTTTATTCATACCACTACCGCCTCTCTTCGCTCATGTTCACAAGTTTAGATCAAATTATGACCTTTTCTTTTTTTTATACTATGTTCCACACCTAGTACTTTAGAACAAGAGTTAATTGGCAACAGTGTTAGTATGCCTTGTATATATATATATATATATATATATGTACACTCCTTATACATGTTAAGTATATATTCTTTATATGCTTTGGTTGTGTTGTTTATCAAGTTTTATTGTTTATTCATGTTACGCATGCACAGATAAATAGCAGAGGATATATGTAGCCGTAATAAAATAAAAACGAAAAAGATAATAAAAAAAAAAAAAAAATAGGAAAATATGTTTTTGCTTTTAAATATGTTTTAATGTACACTTCAGTGGCCAGTTTATGAAGAGAGCTCATTTGAGATCATTTGCATAGTTTTATAAATTCATTATTATTGTTTTTATTTTTATTTTTTTATCGACTTATGCTTGTTGGGGTACGCAATATGTATAAACATATGAAAACAATGTACACACTATGAGAACAAGCACATATATGTATAGTACATACATGTATACAGAGACGTGCGAACGCACAGACCATAGATCCATGCACAGTCACATGGATTACAAAGACACATTTATAAATGTGTATCACATATGAAATGCTACGAATTAATACTGCAACAAAATTATTGCAATTAATAATACATATCTCTTTATCTACACTTTTTATTTTTTACTTTTTTTTTTTTTTTTATTTTATTATTTTATTTTCTTTCTTTTTTTAATTCATGATGTACATAAGCTATAATAATTCAAAATGATGTTTATTCTACATTCATTTTTTCTTTTTTTTTTTTTTTTTTTTTTTTTTTTTACATACTAAATTTTTTTACAATATATATATTTATTTTCATTTTTCTTTTTTTCATGTTTTGTATACTTTTATATGATCTCTTGTCCGTAAGCGAAGATAAAAACTAAAACAAAACTCAGTGCTATATATTTTAACCTTAAAAATAAAATAATATTTTACATTAAAATACGGGTTTTCTATTCATATTCTTATTAATAATGTCATACCTTTGACGAATTTTGGCTCGTAAAATGGATAACAACAAAGTTGAGGAACAAAAAAATGTACAAGTCTTTTACACTCTTTTTGTTAAATCGATGAATGCAGTTTTCTTATTCTATGCATATATTTACAGCACCATATGTATTTAGTTAGTTAAATGTCTGTCTTACATATGCTAATGTCAGGAGGCAAAAATGGAAAATAAGGAAAATATAGAAAAAATGAAGAAAAAATGAAGAAAAAAAATTGCTTCATCCCTTGGCTACATCTTCTTGTGGAAGGCACGAAAATGGTGATGACACTCACTGTAAGATAAAGAGCTGTATCACACTATGTTATAAATAAATAACCATTTGAAAGGATATTTTATGCACTTTGATTTAGGAGAATTGTAAAAATCTATTACCTTTTTCCATTTATATACTTTAAAACAATTCTACGCTATCATTAATATAAGAAAACCACCTCTTATCTCCGTAACCCCAATGTTGTATTACGTAGATTTAACTTATTTTGTATCTCTTTCTGATGTGTTAATAATAGAATATACTCTTCCTCCTTTTTTTAAATTTTAAATTTCAAACATAAAAAAAAAAAAAAAAAAAAGGTACCATGCAGGGAAATATATCATTTAGTTTTATAAATAACGAAAACTGAATACATAACTATTCTCTACCTGTGTGTAAACTATGTGTGTGCATTCCCCGTAATCCAAGATTTCCAAAATTGCAAATATATTTCGTAATGGAAATAATGACATTACTCATGTGACCTTGGGGGCATGTGAAGCACAAGACTCTAAGGAGTTATGTGCCACCCTTTTCACTAAACTTTTGTTTTTGTCATTCCCCCCCTATACACACACATCCACACACATCCACACACATCCACACATCCACACACATCCACACATCCACACATCCACACATCCACACATCCACACATCCACACATCCACACATGCATATATATATATATATATATGTCCACATCAGTGCACACTTCTTACCCTTTTTACAAATAATTACATACCAAAACGAATCACATACATGTCAGCTATGCACACACGGCAATGTTAGATTGTTTTAATTTGGAGTTTATTTGGTGACCTCATTTTTTCAAAGCTGATTATTATATTTTCTTTTCTTTTTTTTTTTTTGTCTTATTTTTAATTGCTTCTTTTTCACATTGGCCATTCAACCCTACTACTACCACCCCACCAAAAAGTTTACAGCAAATGTATGAAGTCAAAGCACAAGCAGAACTTTCCATAATTCCTGTTCATACGATTAAAAAACAAATGAGTTGTACAGTTAGCCCTTGTTAAATCTGCATATGCATGTGGCTACTATATGGGGCTGCGTTCGGTTGATGTGTAAGTGCAAGAAATCTCAGACTTATAAGCCCTGGTGAGATGTTATTAATTTTGATTGCTCTACCAAGTTGACTGTGCTGGCAATTTTGTCGCCTTCGATATTTTCTTAAGTCCCTAGAGATACTCACAGTTCTACGCAAAAATATCCATTGTTTTGGAAAACTTCAAAATGTGCATTTTTTTTTTTTTTTTTTTCCATATTACGGTAGTAAATTTCCTAGCCCGCTGACTTGGCTGAAGATCAAAATGAACGTAAACAATTTGGTCATACATTTGTGATTAAATTATTATGTAAAACATCTCATCAAAAAAAAAAAAAAAAAAAAGTGATTATATACCACTCGCTTGAGGTATTTATTATGTTTGTCCATGTGTTATGCACCCCTTTTCTAAAGAATTGTAATTTCATATATCATCTTCTTCAGCTCCATTTTTTAATTGCAATGTTTTGCAAGTCAACAGAAGGTATCAGCACCCACAAATGAATAAAAAAAAAAAAAAAAAAAGAAAAAAGGGAAGGAAATGCAGAAAAAAAAATAAGTAAAAAAATAAATATGAAATGAAATGAAAGATACCTCTACATGTATGCTCATACTAAGTGCACATAACATATCTTATAACATAAAAAAAATTAACATTAAATGAAGTGCTAAAAAAAAAAAAAAAAAAAAATCACATATATGAAACTTGCCCCTTATAAATACACACTTGCAAATGCTTGTGCCTGCCACTTTGTACATTTCACCAATTTGTTTAAATGTCCCCAATGCTTGTAAATATGTACATGTAAATATATATATATATATATATGTAAATATGTACATGTATACATATATATGTAAATGTATTTTGTAAATATACATATGTATACATGTATTATATGCACATTTATATATGTGCACTTGATGAGCTACTGCTTAAGGCAACATTATGACTGTGCCAAAATATATATTACCCCCTGAGCATCCAGTGTTGTACTGAATTTTTGGCAATTTTATACAATCATCATTTTTTTTTTTTTTTTTTTTTTTTTTTTTTTTTGTAATTGCAAAAAATTTCAAGCACAGAAAACAAGTTTGAGTGCATCGAACAGGTTAAACATAATCTCACACACTTCCTATAACTTGTGCACGTGCTGTATCCATTTTTTTACATACATATATATATATATATATTATCTCATACGTGTATACACGTGTTGAACAACCATTATGAATAACTACAAGGACTTAACGAATACTGCTGTCGATCAGAAGAAATTTTTGGACGAATGTATTTTCATTGTCAAGGAACAGAGCTTTTATATGAAACAGGCACTGGTACGTCTATGAACTGAATGAGTCAGGTGGCAGGAATGGGGATGAGGGGAAAGAAGAAGAAGCAAAACTGCACAGTTGCAAAATTGGATGATCACGCTTCTTTCTGATAAAGGGATAGATGTATATTCCGCTTCCCCTACGAATGTCCCTCCTTTTGACATCCTCCTCGATGAGCATTTTTTTTGGTGATGCATTGAGTGAGAAATAACTTGTCTCCCATTCCTACCAAGGCAATGATAGCATACTACATTATATATATGCATATATCAGAAAGAATTGTAGTATTTTTTTTCACTTTTTTGCTTCACGTCAGTGTCATTTACATCGTACTGTCTGTCTCAATTGTCTGAGTGAGTTATCTTGAGTATGCTTCTTGCACATAAAACTGTTCCACCCTGCATACAAAATCACCTCACCATGCACACATACACATATATACATACATACATACACACACACACAGGAAAATGGATCCCTTCGAGATACTCTGAAGCACGCATCGAACATGCTATGCGAGTTGAGGACATCACAGCTGTCGCCCAAGTATTACTACGAATTGTACATGCTGATTTTTAACGAGTTACAACACCTTGATACCTTCATAAATGATAAAAAGAAACATAAAAAGAAATTTATTGACATATATGAGAGTGTTCAGCACGCAGGAAATATAATTCCACGTCTTTATTTACTAATAATTGTGGGAAGAAACTATATAAAAAATAAGGATATTAAAGCAAAATACATTTTAAAAGACATGACAGAATTGTGTAAGGGTATACAACATCCATTAAGAGGTTTGTTTTTACGATATTTTTTAATTCAGATGTGTAAGGACAGAATACCAGATACAGGTAGCGAATATGAAGAAGCGGGTGGTGGAAATATAGACGATGCGTTTGAATTTTTGTTAGCCAATTTTTATGAAAGTATCAAATTATGGAGTAGAATGAGTGATAAAGTAATTGTTAAATTGCCAACATCTCAAGATGAACAAATAATAAATAATAATAGAACCAAAATATTAAAAGAAAAAATGGATGTCAAAATGTTAGTGGGATCAATTCTAGTTCGTATGTCTCAGTTAGAAGGAATGACGAGACAATACTATATTGAAAAATGTCTACCAAAACTGTTACAAAATTTATCAACTATTAATGATTCTTTAATACAACAGTACATCTTCGAATCAATGGTACAAGTCTTCAGTGATGAATGTCATATATATACTCTAGATATTTTATTAAATGCCGTGCTAAAAATAAATAGCTCACTGGATTTTAAAAGTATTCTTATTACATTATTAAAAAGATTGCGATCCTTTATTGAATCCAATAAGTACGAACTACCAAAAGAAGTGGACATATTCAACTTATTTTATGAACATTTAGTATTGTATATAAACAGAACGTTAGATGCATATAGAGAGGAAAAAAAAGGATCCTACAATTGGGATCACAAAGATGGATCTGTCTTTCCTTCTAAGGACTCTAATTCAGAATTATACAATGGAAAAGAAAAAAAATGCGATGTCACTCGTGGTAGTGTGGCAAGCACGATTGGTACAAGCACAGCCATATCAGTGGCTACCGGTACCACTCCCATTAACATTAATGATTTAGGATCAAATTGCAAAATTGTGAAAACTTCAGATTCGAAAAATTATCCGCATGCTCATGATGATGAACCTCTCGGTAGGGAGAAAAAAAATAGGAACCCATCTACTACACACCCTGATACAATATATCAAAGTGGGGATAATTACAAGACACTCAAGTATGATGGAAATTTGAATAAAACTACACATTATCGTTACAGTAATGATGAGAAAAGTAAGAGAAAAAAAGGAGATGACATATTTGTAGAAAACATTGTGAAGATGTTGCAAGTTATATACGAATTTATTTTCTTATGCATACGCATTTATGATGATGTGATTACAATAAGCAAATTGTTTCATCTTCCATATACTATAGTATCCAATGTAGATTTAAATAATGACATAATATGTGAACAAGTCATTAGTATTATAGTTCTTCCGTTTAATTTCTTGGGGTTGAGTGCACTCAAGGGTAAAAATATGCTAATGTTATTGGAAAGCATAAACTCTGACAAGTATAAAAAAAAACTAAGTTTAGACATTATAGATGCCATTATTGAGTGTAAAAACAAACCTATTCTTTATCAGGATGTCGAGCAAATTATGAATTACATATCTCCAATTTTTAACGAAAGCGCAAAAAGAAAAAATAATCCTAGTGGCGATAAAGGCCTTAAAGGTGGTAATGGTGCTAATCGTACTAACATTGACAATATTGACTGTATTGACAACATTGACAGTATTGACAATATTGACTGTATTGATAATGTTGACAATAATTCTGGTGCTGGTATCCATGAGCGTGGCCTCCACCATTATCATCAATGGAAAGAAGCGGATGTGTTCAACCTAGAAAACAGCACTGTCACGTATGCAGCGAAAAAAATGTGCAAATTTTTTCACATCATAACAAACACAGATGACATTGAAAGCAAGTATAACATATGTATTCTATTTCATAAACATATAGAAAATGGACCATACCTAGTTCATTTATTACCAACAATAATATTTACAATGCTGAGCATTGTAACCACCATCATTAACTTGATTCCAAATCTTGAAAGTAACCCTCATCATGGAGGAGATATGCATGGTAAACCGTTCGAGAAAAAGGAACACATTGATGAGGAGGAGATGGGGGAAGAGGATGATAATATCATTTTACAAAATAACAACAATAACAACAAGGATCTTGGACGAAATAATAACATAATGAACAGCTTTGTTGAGAACTATTCAGATGGCCATGATTTTGAAAAAAAAGTAATACAATACAATATACATGTAAAAAACATCCTGAAATTCATCCACACAAATCTGCTTGCCGTAGCAAATCAAATCCCCATATTGGCATTCAAATTATTTCTACACAGTGCTGTGATAATTAATAATTACAACCGATTTATTGAAACATATCCATTTCTATCCTTTGATAATTTAGAAGCAATATGTTATGAATTCATAACCCAACCATTAATCATTTATGAGGAAGATATAAATATGTCATCTCAACAATATAATTGTATTGTTTGGATTGTTGGTATTTTATGTTCACACATTACTTTACTTGAAAATGAGAATTATGAAAATATTGCATTAAAGTTAACTCAACATGCAAATAAATTGCTAAAAAAAAAAGACCAATGTTTAGGTATCTTAACATGTTCACATTTATATTGGGAAAATAATAAATATAGAAATAGTGCAAAAACATTTGAATGCTTACAAAAGTGCATAAAAAATGCAGAAATTGCTGTCCAATCAAATAGTGATAACATTGTTCTCTTTCTTTATATGTTGCAAAAGTATATATACTACTATGAAGCGGAAAACATTGAAATTACAGAAGATAATATAAATTATTTATTACAAATTTGTCACGATCATTATTCTAAGGAAAAATGTGACTCTAAATTCAAGAATGAATATGTCCAAACTGTAAAATACATACATGATAAGAAAATCAGTTCCAATGCATTTGCAAAAATAGCTATCGACATCTCCGTTTTACCCTAACTCAGCCTTTCCACCCTGTGAAATTGCCTTGAGATGTATATTTTAACACATAATTCAAGTGTATTTTTGCATAGAGTGTACTCCAATATCAGTCATGGTTAGTGTAATATATACCCCACCTCCTAAACATATGCTTCGAAATATGAACTAGTATACATTTTTGCAGATTAAACACATTCATCTCTCCAGGAGGAGAGGGGGGACACACATCCAAGCTTCGTTAACTGTTCCCTATCACGCTTAAAAAAAAAAAAAAAAAAAAAATGTAAGAAATATGTACCATGTTTTACCATAACTAAACTGAATGAACCGATTTGTTTTTCCCCTCCCCCCATCCTCATGCAAGTTTATAGCAGTAGATTATAAAAATTGCCATTCTGAAAAATTTTAAAAGGGTAATTTTTTTTTTTTTTTATAGAGGGGAGGGGGGGAGGGGGGGGTATACGTTTTGTTAAAAATTGCCTACGTATGTACGTACGTACTTATCTACATTTAACACTTACTTGTGGATTTATATGTGTTGTATATATGTTATTTAAAATTTAAACAATTTTTTTTTCCCGCTTTTTTTATTTTTTTATTTTTTTTTTGTTTTGTTCAAAACTAATTAATTTAATTCCTATAGATGCTTAATAACGTAATTTTGGTTTAACTGTAACTTCCCTCATGCGTATACTCTTTCTCATATATATATATATATATATATATATTTTCTATCCTTCAACTTCAACAGCCTTGTGTAATATAGGGTTTCTATTTTGTTTTAAAACGTGAACACTGTATGCTCATACAATACATAGGTATGCATATATACGTGCATGCCGGAATAAATGAAAATATCTTAAAATGTCTCCTACCAATATTGTAACAATTTGAAAAGAATCAAGCATCTTTCTTTTTTTATTTTCTCTCGTTTTTTTTTTTTATAGAATTGTCAAAATGGATTCGTTCATTTTTTGGACCTTTTCTGATGCTTGTTCCTGGTTCTTATGTCTTTTTTTATATTGTCTAGTTGGTTAACATCTACAAAATACTTTTTCTTAGCTTCATCGTCTAATTCTTTGCATACCTGTATTCCCATGCTGTTGCATGTACCTTAAAAAAATTAAAAGAAAGAAAGAAAAAAAAAAAAAAAAAAAAAGTAGAAAATCCAATAATGTCACAATCATATCCTGGTTTGTGGAGACAAATTCGTAGCTTTAGTTCAAATGATTACGTTTTTCACATACAATAGTATCGGCCCAGTATCTCTTATTTTACTATTTTCCTGATTTCCTAATTTGTTTTATTATTTATTTTTTTTTTTTTTTTTTTTTTCCTACCGATAATATATTTGCATATACTTTTGAGCGACAGATTTATCAACGGAGGATCCATGCGCTTGCACTTGGCTATATGAAAAACCTGTTGAATTAAAAAAAAAAAAAAAAAAAAAAAAAAAAAAAAAAAAAAAAAAAAAAAAAAAAAAAAAAAAAAAAAAAAAAATATATAGGTTTATTAAAAA